TTTTCATGATACGGTCGGTAATCTCTGTCAGAACTGTTGCGGTAATCAAGGCCCATCTCAAAGGGCGGGCAGTTATTGAGGTACTCCAGGAGGAAGATTGCTAGCATTCCATGATAAGTTGGGTCGTCCAAGACAGGAAATGCAGACGTATGATCCTTGCGATTCGTATCTGCAAGAAACTCGGTAAAGAAATGATGCATCACAGCGACGGATTCATCTTCTGAGACCTTGACAAACTCATAAGTTTCATCCTGATCCTCATCCGAGCTCTTGTCCATGGCTGTGCTGTTTGTGTCGGCTGCGTCAACTGGTAACGTAGAACGTGAAACTATAGCGCTTCATGAAAGCTAAGGAACCTTTCATCAGTGCTTATAAATCGGCACATAGATAGATGCCTGGACTAGCTAGGGCTCTCTCGTCTGCAATACCGTCTCCGCGTTCCGCTCGGCTGTACGCACACTAACCCACCTCGGGGTCAATTGTTCGGTTCTCGCTTAATTATGCCTAAAGAAGTAAGGTGTTTGGAGAGCCTTATGTACATGTAAAGTGTAAGCACTAAAGCTCATACCCCGCTCTAAAGAAGGCTCTTGGCTCTCCCACCTGGTTATACAATCCTAACAGTTTGGCAGCATTAACCCTATAACATTATCTAAAGTAACTGATCATACCTCAATATAGTGTCCTTAATTTCTGGCTGGATTTAGGTACTGGAATCTTTCTTGAGCTTTTTGTTGGTGATGAATGAAATTGAGACCACCAATACTACGGCGCTAACGGTTTCCTGCAAGAATTTCTAACATCTCAGAGTATTTAATCTATTTCTCATCACATTTCCTTTAGGGAGATATCACTTCCTTATCAAATAGCTTCAACGGCTAATATTTATAGTTATTAATTCTTCAGTAATTTCATAGCTTTAATAAGTAATTAAATAAGATATTAAGGTAATTTTAAAGAATTTTCTAGCTTCTTATATATTAGATTTTATATATTATTTCTTTCTTATTATCTTCTGCACTGTGCTTACTATTGCGTGTCCGTCACTTGGCTCAATTGTTGTATTAAGTGCGGTGCCTAGTGCCTATGGGCTTCCCGTTCTGTGATGGAGGTTTCGAGCTTTGAATGGCTTCAAAATGTGAAATCACTGGAAAGAGTTTGTATTGTCTCGATAGGTCCACGAACTTCTAGGTCAAATCCAGCTGCTTATTGGATCGAGAGGTCAGGTTGTCATCTGGACGGGGTTGATGATGGTAATGCGGTAGAGAAAAGAAACAGAAGGCGTGAGTGGAGATGAAAATAAAATTATACTTGCTCGTCATTCGATTCTGCTTTTGACTATGGTTCTGCCTATTTTTTATACGCTTGTCCATTGTGGTTGACCTTTGGCAGATCTCAGTCGGTATTTTCTGATTGATTCTCAAATTTGATAATAGATTTATGATTCTGGCAACCCAGCTTGCAGTACTGATAATATGTCTTCATACGCCGCCATAAAATCCTGACATGATTTATTTAATTGCATGCCGGGGAATAAGGGTGATTCGGATTCCAGAATTCGATCGATGTCTCTTGTAATCTTGTTGATATCGTCGACCGCAGTAATCATCTTTTGTGCTGCGACCCCCAGAATATCCATCTTGTTCAGAGCTTTTACGCCTTCCCTGTACTCATATCTACGTCGTAGGGTAACCTTGTTCGTCCTTGGCGTAGTCTGAGACATTCTGGCACTGTGGGTTGTCAGTTAGGCTTGGGGAGCGGGGGGCCACGCGATCTCACACTAAAAGTAGAAATAGAGTCAGACATGTTACCTGCATCTGTAGATCTGGCATAAGATCTGATGGGTTTTGTTCTAGAAGGGCTGTGAAGTTGATAGGTAGAATCGACTGGTTCGGAGGCTGGGATGGGCATATGCTTGTTAGCTTGAGCTTCTTGCTTAAGCTGGAGGTGGGCAAAGAGGCGCCTGATGCCCTTTTTCGAGATAAAATCATTGTCGCCATAACATATATGCAGATATCTAGGATGACATCTATTATACTTGATGGTGCGTTCAATCATTACTTATAATTCACTGCCTCACTTCAAGATGAACAAGCCGCTGATGGTTGCACGCATAGGCCATTTCAATACCCTGCGCTTTCGTCCCGACAGATATCGGCGCAAGGCAGACTAGCGGGATCTAATTGGACCGTAGCGCCATCTTGTTTTAAGTATGGAAGATCTGGAAGGAAGGAAATACGAAGCTTACTGGGGTTTATTGGTGGTACCGATGGAATCTGGAATTCCAAGTAAGCATTTAGATCCTGGGTGGCGGTGGGCAGTCTAATCTAGTAGCGATTAGCATGAATGTTTCGGAGATTGAGACGTATCCCGTGTGATATTTTAATGTTGGAAAGATTACAGCGAATGACAGGTCCAGTAGATGAAGTGTGTGCCGTCATTGCAGACGCAACAGCATGCAAACCTCGGGGTTTATCCCCGATTTGTCGATTCTGAAACGGGGTCGGGTCTGATTTAGATCAACGATTAGTGAACATTCCCAGAGATCTGAGATCAAGGGAAACCGCCACGGCATGCCAAGGAACCCAGCAACCAGGTTCTGGAGAGAGAAAAAGAAACGAACCCAACTAAACCAATATTCGCTAGCCCATCCACCAATCTGGGGGCGGTTTTTTTTTTATTTCCCCCCTCATTAACCGAGAGGCAGCACACTACAGAGTAAATCGATTAAGATGTGTATTCAGCTGGTGGACTACTGTAAAGGAGACTTTAGGAGAAATGTCGCTCAATTTACGACAATTCCAGGGACCAGGGATACCGAATATAAAATGGCGTTATCACACTTTGCGCAATTGCAACAAGACTGAAACCGAGGGACTGGGAATATAAGCGTAACCGTAAGCGCGGAAACGGGCTTAGGGCGTAGCAATCTAAGACACGGCTTAGCCGTGATGCAGGGGTTCCACATCTTTACTACTCTTATTCCCTCCAATAGCTGCTGGTGATGACAGTTATACCAACTAGGATCTCTCGGAGTCACCAGTTGCCGATCCCAATAGGTGTCGTCACAAGCATGGACATCAGGGATCGGAGCTCGCAAGGGGTTTTTGCGGAGGTTTGGCTCCAGCCGCATTGTCGATTTCACTCTCTGGTAAGTTTAGCCGTCATTCCAAGCAATCCTCATTCACGTTGCTGACAGTTGTTTCTAATACCACTGCCCCAATTATTGACAACAATCTACCTCTCTATACAGCAGAGAATAGAGTAGATTTCGTCTTATCTATTGGCCCGACTTGCGATTCCTCCTATAAACCAGGAGTCGAAACCCTCATAAAGTCATTGCCCATAATGAATGAATATCAGCCATACTTCCTACGGGCGTTTGAGCGTACGGCCGACGACAACAATTCTGGAGACTAAGATCTTGCAACCATACGAATCAGCGTTTGCCAATCAGCTCACTGGGTCATGCTCCACCTGTCTGGATCCTGGGGTAAATGAGTCATTTTCTGGGGTACATAAGCGACTTGCGGCTGCACAATAGCTCAAGATCTTGATTTCGCAAATTGTTTCTGGTGTTGAATCTCCTTATGACTTTGACCCCGGGTTTTCTTTATTCAATTGCCTCCCTCTGCTTAAAACACTAATTAGGATATCGCCACCTTGGCGACCTATCTCTATGCTGGCTTTAAGCATTGGGCTTTTGTGACTCTAAACTCCCCTGCTTTAGATACCCCCCTGTCCTTCTCTAGCGAAGAGAATCCCGCGCAGCACCAAGTCTTGAGCTATAAGATGCTCGATAAGGTGACTAACCGCGTTACTTCCTTCTCGCTTGAAGTTACTTCTATTCTTCACGGGAGAAGTACAGGTAACTTGTTTAGCCAATTAGGTTGCGAGATTACGTAATATAATGTTTCTTATCTTAACAGTCAACGTGGTATTGTATAACTGGCTGATTTAGGATTCTAGGCGCCCTGAGGTTAACAGCCTGATAAGAGTGCTTTTCCTCCTTGCTTTTCGTTCTCTTAATTGCATCAGGCTACCTCTACTTTATATCTCAAGATGGCTTCTGGAGATACTTGTTGTTCCCCTGTATGGCAAGTCTCTATTCCCGTGGTTAGGGAAGCAATTCCTGACGTAGCCGCCGACCTCTGTGCACAATGCTCTTCTATTGGCCTTCAAGCTATACGGAATGGGCAAGAGTGTAAAAGGATATGACTTACAAGCAAAACATTCTCGCCTTGCTCACTCTGCCGGTTCTTTACTACCATTTTGTTTCGCGACAATGCCACACCTATCAACCAACAAAGTGAAGTCGAGTTCGAAGTTTTGGCCAAGAACCCAGCGAGCACGTATCTTAACATACCTTCGTATTCCCTTGAAACAAATGCCTTTGACAGAAGCCAGGTGCTTCGTTTGAGCACTTTGAACTACGATTCATTTCAGTTTGCAATATCCCCTCTCCCAAACAACTCTCAAGACACCGAGGCGGTGAAATTCACTATTCTTCGTCTAGAGTCAGACAGGATTGACTTCCAAATACTGAAGAACTGGTTGGCATTCTGCAAGTCCCACCACCACAAAACTTGTCAGACCTTGCCAGGATATCCACATGAACTCTCATGCTTGAGAGTGATCGAGTGCCAGACTGGTGCAATCATAAAAGCCCCTGAAGGATGCGAGTTTGCGGCTCTTAGCTATGTATGGGGACAGCCACAAGACAATGAGTCAAGTGTGGCCCCAAAGGATGGCTTCCTGCCACCTCAAGTGCCCAAGACCATTTGCGATGCTATCCAGGACACGATCCGACTTAACCTTCAATATCTTTGGGTGGACCAATACTGCATCAATCAGAAGGATGAAATTCAAGGTACAACAGACATCTCACACAGCGTATATTGCTCCATCTTGCATAACTTTCTGTTCCTCGAGCATGCCCGTCATTCGTCCCTTTTGTACAACGCCTATATGGAGCTAGTACAGATTCTCCTCCACCCAATCTTTTAATCATTTATGCATTGGAGGGTAGTTGAAATAACTTCTGGTGAGGGATTGGAAACCGTGACAGAACCGCCAAAATTTCCTTTTTCGTTGCTAATCCAAATCTTGAGCTGGCCATCGTTGCCATCATAACTGAAAGTGACACTAGGATCTGTACACTTATAAACGTTTGTCGAAGTGAAGGGTTTGGCCGTGTTCTTCTGAGGGTCTTTGTTGAGTGGGGGGCATCGAGTCTCCATGTCTTCAGAATACAAGCGGAAGGATACGTTGTTTTTGTTATTCCGGTCGATGTATGCGCCAGTTAGACTGACGGGAAGTTCATTTACTTGACAGTCTCTTGCTTTGAGGTGGGGAGCAGCATTGGTGCTTCGAAGTAGAAGATTCAACAGCAAAAGAGGAATGAGCATTATGTCGGTATTTGGGTGAAATAAGAAGAAACAAATATCGTTCAGTGTGTTTACTGTTTGGATACCAAAGCACCAACAACGCAGATAATAAGAGATCAATACAAAGCTTAGTCTTAAGTATTTCTCTTCTTAAGTTACACGCCCTGATTGTATGCCGATGCCAGGTTCCAAAAGCTTATGGAAGCAATTTACTGCATCCGGAACTCCGGAGACAAATATTACGTTGTAATTTGGAGGCGTCGTGAGGTAGTATCTGAAGTTTAAATACGGAAGTATAAAGCAACGCTTACTATTCAAGGTTTATGCCCTATGTACGGGTAAAGAAATCTAATCTTTAGAAGACCCACTTAGTGAGAATTAATTTACAAATGAGGGATAGGACAGTTCAGCTTATCCGGGAGCGTCAATAGACCGACAACCCGAGCCAGTCATGCAGCTTGGATAACCGAAGGTCGATGGGCGTTCCCTTTGACGCGAGCGTATAACGAAGCAGCGGGCGGCGTTCGGCGCCTAGTAAGGCAATTAATTTTATTAGTCCATGTTAACTTTCGTCTCTCTAAGAGCAAGACATTCGTTGTGACACTGTCCCGCTGGAGCCTGACTGCTTGTCAGCACCGACTTTGATTAGAGTGTTATTTTGAGTTGATAGACCCCAGCTGATAGCTCACATCACGCGCCCGACACGCTTGTCAGAATAAATAATATTAAATTTGCTCGTTATGGTCCTCTGTCAGGGCCACGGTATCCGAATCCCTTGGCTCTTTTGCTAAGACAGACCCTCCTCATTTCAACTACAAGCTTCAGATTATCTTGAATATCGGTGACCTCCTCTATTAAAGCATTCTATCGTGGTTTGCTGGTTTTTCCTGGGCTCCGCTAAAGAAATCTTCCTTAGAGTTGAGTGTCAGAGAGGACCTAGATATTACATCAGATCACAGGCCAACCGGTGAGCAGAACGAAGTAGACGTCACCCGTAGTTAGAATTTAAAAAATTTTGGCAGGTTGGTGTAAGGCATGTCTACGAACCTGTATCACTAACCCTGCCTCAAGAGTGTCTTCGGTGTACGTTCGTAGCCACCATCCAATCCTCCCAGGTCACCTCGTATACCTCGATACCAATTTCCAACATCGCGGAAACCACGTGTAGTCGACTCAACATAAAACCTTCTTCAATCTGGTGAGAAAGGCTAGGCTTACCATACATCAAGTCAAAGGTCACCGTCTCGCTCATGCATAGCAGTCAGCCTCACTTTCAGCCATTGGTCCGAGCACCAACAAGTTCCAAAGTTATATCTGATATATTCCGCCGCTCGTGCCTTCATTATCACTTTACGCTCACTTAGCATCAACTTTTGGCCGTCCATGAATCGTTTCTTGGTCCTCTTGACCTCCCGGTAGCTACCTCATCAAGTGCTTTTGGCCTTCTCCACATCATTATCGTGGCCTCGTAAGAGACATCCAACAATCCTGATATTCCTCCTATTCCTCCGGTATGATTTCACTCCCTTTCCACATGCCAAGTGTGGCGCATTTGAGAATCGCTTTTCAGGCCGACTCTCCCTGTGCCTTGGCTTGATGAAGGGAAGCAATGAATGGCTCTGTAATGGACTGGAACCTAGTAGTCTCCTCATGAGTGTAATTATTGTGATCAACGCCAAGGCTGAAGGAGAATGAGAGATCAATGTCTGGTCCGCCGACCATCCTGCGGAGAGCTTCATTAAATTCTATTACAATCTGCTGTTAGCACAACTTTCCTTCCATTCATGAGATGAATCTTGCCTTTAAAGGCAGGATCTTCCGTAATGGCTTGAGCTCCTGGCATAAGGCCATCAGAAGGATCAATTTCTTTGTCAACTTCTGCTGCAACTTGATGTTAGCATGTACAAGTTCTCATTCATTAAAGAGACTTGCCTTCAAGGATAGAAATGAAATCAAGCGTTACGTAGGTACAAGTCGTAGCAATTGAGATGACATCTAAGGGACTGTCGCTTTCCGGGCTCGTTCTGGCAAAGTAGTATCGCGTTTCTTAACTACGTATTGTACAAGTAGAAGCACTATCCGAAGTAGAGTCATTGATGCCGAGTTTGCGGAGAACGTCTATGAGCTTTGGTGTGTCGACAGAGGTTGGGAGCCACATCTTGAATTGAGGAGAGACGAGTGGAGACGAGTGAGAGATGAGTGACAGGCAAGTGGTCGATGTGTCGAGAGATGTCTGCGATAATGCTGACAGATGCTGATGTTAATGTTGGGAAGAGAATCTGGAATCCGGAAAGTACTTTATATGTGGCTCTGTACCAGCGCCACAGTGAAGTAAGTGACTTCCATTGAATGACTTTTAATTGCATTATATTTCTCTTTATGTGAGAACCTTTGTGTAGTGCTGTTTGTTATGTAGGCAGGTAATTGCGCCGGTGCATGAAAGGCGACCAAACTGCATTTAACATGCAGCCTACTTGTTCCCTTTCCTTCCTTTATGATTGACTGAACCTTTATCCACGCAGCTTTCAACTATCAGTTGAATGCTTAGTCTAAAAGCAAAGCCGTCAGCAAGCACCCCGCCGATGAAAGGCATGACCAACATATCATTGTCATCTTGACAAACTACCTTTACAGCACTACCTTCTTTCCTTTTCAACAGCTAGGATCCGTTACCTATTTTACGGCAAACCATAGGGAAAACAAATCAGTTTATACCACGACACCCACTGATGAACATTCAATAACAACTATTCCAAAAGGAATCAAAGGAGTTCATGTTCAAAGCGCACAAGAGGCCAGGAGTTAATTGCTACATAGAACTTTTGATGGAACCCCGGTGCAGGTATTACATATATATATTACGTGGAGGACTGCATCTCTTGAGTCGATGGTACAAAGGCCGCCTTTCTGCAACCGGATGGCACTATTACAACTGTAATAGTAAAAGCTATACTCTAATGCGACGTGCTCAGTCTTCCACTCCACTCCGGTCTCAGGAGACAAGATCACGTCTCTCCTCGAAGGAATCTTTCCAAAGCGTTGAACGTAGCCGATCATTCACTATAGTCTTCAGCCAGTGTTATTTATGGCTGTAAGCCTATAATATTAACAAAAGCAATATTAGAAAATTAGAATAGCCGTTAGCGGCAGCAAACTCACTCTAATGCATATGCACAAGAAATTAATCTAGTTATTTCGAGACATCAGAACGGACTGGTTTATGGCGTGCTGAACCCTCTCAAGAGGTTGACCATATGTCTGCTCCATATCTATCAGAAGAGCATAGTTGGGGCCGGTAGCAACTTCACGCTGTCGACGCCCATGAATGAGAGCTTTCAGAGATGGACTATAGGACGATACCACTCTGTCCATTACCGTGTTGCCAGATCGCTCTTAATGACGTCCAGATGCATAAAGTGGGAACTAACTAGGTACAGAGCCCAAGCCTTCAAGTCTTGAATAGAGTCAGCTACTTCAAATCGATATAAGAAACAGCCTCTCTGAATTATCTAACAGTAAGATTTTCTCTCTGTACCTCGCCTGTCTGTACAAGGTCCCATATCTCGCCGTTCATAACACCAAGTACAAAGGCGCCACCCACCAAGGTAAACACTTGCTCAGAAGCACCATCTCTTCCTCTATTGGATGTCATCCTTCTGAATATAAAAGGTACACTAGCACCCTGAACTACAAAAACCTCATCACCCACTTGGGCCCTGTCGTCCGCAAGACCAATGCGTCCGTTACTGAGTATGCACAGTCTCTTTCCATCGCAACGCTTCAAGATCCTCATGGCCTGTTTCTCAAAGCTCCCGGTCCCCTGAAAGATGTCCATAAGTGGTATCCTTTCTTTATCCTTCTCAATCAGTTCCCCAAAACACATCCACTTTCCTTCGTCATCCTTAAGAGCCTCTCCGTTATACCGCTTGATATGACTCACCGCAGCTTTGGCGACCTCGGGGTAAACAACATCATCTAATGTTAGAGTTCTGAGAAATTTTGACAGGGACAAGGTGCTGCTATGCCACTTGTGAAACTCCTCGTCAGCTATATCGTCCGGTATTTTGCTGTGTTCGAGATACGACTCGTCCGGTACTATCTTTTCCCACTGTCCAACGGGGAAGCAATTCTTCCCAATATCACAAAGATCGCCAATTCTCTCAATCTTACCCAGGCTGACAGCCTGGACATGAAGCTGTCTGGATGGCTGGTCATTGACAGACGTATATCCTGAGATCGTCCATGTATCGATGAGATGAGAATGTAGCATCTTCCAACCCCAAATGTACTGAGTGGGCCTATTTTCAAACCCTGCAAGCGGTTTGTATCTCCCTGCAGCGTGCTTTTGAGTGGCAGCCCAGTAGGGAGAAATGACGCTCCAGTCTGGGACCCATGTTGGCAGCCCTGGCATAGCTGATTCCTTGACTACATATGAGAGAATGTCGAGACCGACTGAACCCATCAGCAAGATCGCAAGGTCAGTATACACCCGGGACACAGAATGACTGTAATCGACTTGAACATTCAGACGTCGTTGCCGAATTGCCAGTTCCTGCAGTTCTTGTTCGTTATAATCCCAACGTTCCTTATACTCCTCAAGCTCCTCCTTCATCTCTTCATGATGTCGATCCAATAGAGGGAGAATAGCGTATAGCTTGTCCCTTGGATCAGTGGCACCACAGGTCCTTGTGTCTTCTAATATTCTTAAGAGTCTTTCGCCGTATGTAACGTGCAAAACGTACGGATTGGGCGAAACAGCATACGTAACTGAGAACGGGAGTCTTTGAACCCAGCCCGCGTTCACATTCCAATGGACAAACGTCTTGAAGCTTTCCCAATTGAGTTGGTTGTCACCGCAGATCACAGTGGCCTTTTGCGCAAAGGTGATCTCTTGAAGGACCCAAACACGAAAGAACCACGGCCTCTTGAGTAGATTGCTTACAGCACTTTGGTTCTCCTGAATGGCCGCAGAAGATTCTACAGCCCCGTAACCATCGTCGTTGGATGGTTCATCAATTTCGCGGATGCATCTTATGGCGGCATCGCTATCAGGCGATCCTGGTCCGAGATAGACCAAGACTTGTGATGCATTCTTGTAAATGCGTGCCATAAGGCTTAGCTGATGGTTTTTTTCAATAGCCGAATCTTGATCGATGCAGATCGAATCAATCCAGAGTAGTCGAGGTGAATTGGAATATCGGAAACTACTCAAGGCCGCGTGACAGCTCTGCGATATAAGGGCCTGAGTCAACGTGTCTATGTCACCTTGAACACTGACTGGTACAAGATCTTTCACGTCTCCCCAAACATAGGAAACTGCCTCGTAAGGCTGAGCCTCACCAAGCTTGGTGTTGAGAAGACGGAGCGTGAGCGGGGTATTATGACGCCCCGGTTGAAGAGAAACCAAGCGAAACGAATCATCCTTGTCAAGTGCATTCTTGGCGTAGAGGTTCTGTAATTGATTATTCATGTTATATAATCTCCTTGGGATAAATGCTTACATTTTTATCCAAGCCTTAGTCTCTCAGCATTAATGCCTAGGACTATGAGCAGAGCGGTTCACAATGGCAGAATTAAAATCAGGGTTAGCGTCACTAAGTCCTGGTGGTCAGTAAATTACCCTGCACTCATGATGGCCTTTTGAAGCCGACAAACTATATGACTCCCAGCGCATTGAATCGTAGTTTCTGTGGATTCGCGGTGATTTTGGGCCTCTCGTGGGCTGGTGTGCTGTGGAGGTTATCTTTGGTGTGAGATTTGTATCAACGGAAACTTGACCATATGAGCTTAGAAACTCTTGTAGAGAGCTGGCAATTATTGCAATTGAATATATGATTGATCTGGAGCACTAAGGTGCAGTTTTTAGTGATGCGCAGTTACTTTCAATCTCTCGCGTGTTGGCGAGGCATGAAGCATAACTTTGGTAGGGGAATCGTATTACAAGGAACTCGACCATCTGAGGTCAGAAAATTCTACGAAAAGCTTTCCCCGTGTCGCAATAAGGAGGCCATCAATCTCAGATCATTATCCAATGTATTTGTGGAGGTACAGTAGTTATGAATGATGGCGTCCCCTCAGCGCAGCGTTGTCACCTTGGTCATTCTTCAGGTAAAGCCTGCAACTCACGTAATAAACAATTGAAATGTCTATAAAAGGTGTTGATAGGTACTTGATTAGTTTAGAAAATCTAGCATTAGTCAGATTGTACTACTCGCATGCAGATTGTGGCTATCCCGCCGCGTATCATTTTCCATAGGGTAGGGTCAACGTATGTTGATGTGCGTTAATGATGGGGGCGCGCGCACAGCAGAATCTCGACCCCATGGGGTCGGAAGAATCGGAAAGCAATCAGTATTACTGACTGAAGTGTCAGGAGTAAATGCATCAGTTGAAGTATCTCGTGTGTGCAGCAACCGCTTAGTTCCCGACCTTTTCTCATTGATCTCAATTGACTTCCGGTTTATCCTTGATGCGCGACGACAAACTGCACGTTTTTGTCACAAAGCATTTATCTAATAAGGCAAGCTCAGGTCATTTCATATGTAAGAGTTCAGGAGGAGAGAAGCATGGCCATGATCGAAAAACGCCTCCAAGTTCCATTATCGCGTATAAACTCCCAGTACACACCACAGGAAAACAACCCAAACGCCAGACAACCACGCCAGACACACGCCCACAGACAGCCAAACTACTCCAGGTCCAACATCCTCCTCCCGCAGAGCGGCCAAACCATCAGGCCCATACTCCACCATCCCAAGGTACACATCACAGCGCGCCTTGGCCAACCGGAGGTCAAAGACAGACTGTTCCAGGGTCACCTTCTCAGCGCCCAACTTCACCAACTTCTCCTCAGCGCGCTTTAGCTCTCTCTGCTCCTCCTGAGCCGACGCCAGGACTCCCTCAGCAGTTTGAGCATCCTGAGATGCTTTGTCGAGCTCGCTTTGAGCCGTTTCCATGGCTTGGACATGGTAGGTTGGCGCATCGGGCAGCGCCAATTCCCGGTACCCGTCCACGTATCGCTGGTGCTTGGTGACCAGGGCGGAGGAGGTTGCGAGGCGGGCGGTGGCCTCCTTGATGCTCTCTTGGAGCGCGCCAGCATTGACATTGGCGATTTGTCGTTGCAGAGAAACGACGCGAGTTTCGACCTCGTCTAGGAGTGATTTTGCCCCATTGAGGCGATCCTCAGCAGCACCCGACTTCTCTCTGAGGATGGAGATGTGCTCCGAGCGTACGAGCTCTTCGCGGTTCTGCTATCATGTCAGCAATTGAAGGGAGTCGATAAGTCAAATGGGTGGTGACATACGACGGCGGAGATGTCTGGGCTCTTGTACGAGCGCCGTTTGCGACGCGACGCTTCTGTGTCGCTGGTATAACCGGGTCGCTTCTGAGGACTTTCTAGTACAGTATTAGCATTTGAACATTCATGCATGCTGAATGAGAGTGGACAGTACTTACGTTGGGGGGGAGCTTCAGGCTAGGAAGACTCTCTCTCCTCTGCCCGAGAAGACAACCTCCTGCTACCACGGATAGCCGATTTCTCACTCAGCCACCGATCGGCTTGGGTGCATGCCTCCTGGTTGAGGCCACCACATGACTCTGCATTGTCCTTGAACCAAGCCACCACGTCGTCAACCGTGGTGTTAGCCTTTGTGCTGGCTGAGGAGATGATCTTGGCCAGGGACACCAAGACGTTCTTGCTCCAGGACCGAGGGACGGAATCGGCAAAGAGTTGGTTGGGCCACATGCCCGACACAGAATGGATCTGCAGAGCGCTGGCGGGCGACGAGCGGTAGAGACCGGGGACTTCAATTCGAGGGGACGGGGAAGACATCGCGACGGGAAATTTGGTGTTGACAAGACGAGACGAAAAAGAAAAGGGCAAGACGGGATGAAAACGGCGCGGGAGCTGGTATTCAACAAATGAACCGAGAGCTTAAAAACGGCGGGAGACGCACAGAGGAATTCGGAGGCTGATGATGGAGTTGAAGAGAGGAAAAACTTACAAAGACTTGCATGACGACTGAGGTATACCTCGAGGGCAGTGCCAATTGAAGAGGGAAAGAGGTAGAAGCAGAGTTTTCAACCGGCAGGAAAGCCTCGAGTAACCCCGATAAAATAGCATCTGAAGTCATTGACCAATTCTACATATGTTATTCAGTAAGTAACCTCCTTTTAATCGGTATTGGGTCTCTTGTGGCCCCCCAACATCTCGGTGATGTTGGTGGTGGCATCCATGACTCGGAACCACAGACAGCGGCGGTGAGTCTCAACACCAGGATCATCACGAATAATGGACGCAGACTCAAGTGATTGAACAGAATATGTTATTTGGACCCCAGCAATGTGAAAAAATGCAAACCAACTCATCTTACACTGATGTGGCCTGCAATCTCGCCAATCGATGTGAGAGGTTGATGTGTTCAACTTACAGCGCTTGGATTTAGGGGGTATCCACTAACATGAGCGCTGGGGCAGGCTGACGAACGTTGAAGCGCATGCGCCGGGATTACGTCTGACTATGAATAAACAGCTTCATAATCGGGGTTGACCAGCGACATAGGATTCAATTGTACAAGTATGTTACTTCAAGATTGGGCCGTTGGCGTGGACCCTTCATTGTCGCTGTCAAGATGAACGCCCGCCCGCCATGCATGGAAGTTTAGCGTGTCAACTACCATGTGAACACCTCACACCCAATCACCAGGAACTCAACTATCAAAGGGTAACTCATATTGCACAGCTTAACAATACGGTCAGAGTGCTCAAGCGATACAGGAATCAATTGGATAAATACACTACTTCAAGATTGGGGTTGTCGTGGACTCTTCTTCATCGTCGTCAATGTGAACGAACGCCCACCGTTTAGCGTGTTGACCGCCAACCGACACCTCATAGTTGATTACCAGGAACTCAACCATTAAGCTGTAACTTACAATACAAAATTTGAAGATAGGATCAGCTCATCCATGCGACACATGAATCAATTGGAAAGGATATCACTTGAAGATTGGATTATCGATGCAGACTCTTCAAAATGGTAATTGAGGTTCAGTTCGCCCCACGAAGTTGGCCGAGTTTACTACCAGGAGTAACTTACATCACCAGGAACTGAACCATTCAACCGTAAATGACGATAAATGAGTCTGGAACATGATCTGGATACATAAGCGACACAGGATTCAACTGCATGACTATTTTACTCACAGCCTGTTGTGATGGCATTGACTTATTTCCATCCACCAACTCCGTCGCAGGTTCGCAGCACTAAAGCGTTAGCGGTTCGACCGCTATCCCTCACCAGGCCACTGACTTGAGATATTTCGGTATCGCCAGGAACGCAGCCGAAACGAGACCTATAAGTACAAGTAGTAGGCGCAAATGCTCAGCGTTGTGATGCGACATGGATCCCAGAGTCTTGATTGATTCGGTGCAAATTTGGAGTGGTGATGGGCGTTCTTTATCAAACTAAGGTTTAGCGCACAGCTGGCCTAGAAGTTCATAATCTGACATGTTTCGCAATCACCAGGAACACAACCAAAGCGATATCTAAAAGTAAAAACACGATGCCCAAATGCTCTCTGTAGCTGTGCGACATGAATCTGAAAGTTTTAATTGATTCAGTGTAAAGTTGGAGTGGTGGCAGACGGACATGCTGTATTAAGCAAGCATATCTTAAGATATCCACTATAGGTAGGACCGCGTGATACATCAAGCAGAGGAACATAGTGACAGGCATTTTCACCGGGATCAAGACCACAATAAAGTGCAGTAACAAAACAATCTGTTGTTAAAAAATCTGTATATCCGCGCGACATGCCAGGAATCAATAGAGCAACTTGTGCTTCTGATGTTAAAGATGCTCCCAATCTGCTGACGGTACCGAGCTCTCCGAAAGCCGCCCAAATGGCTGTCGACCCTACCATTGAGCAAGATCTTGTATCAGCGGGAAATCACCAATAAAGCATATGTGTTGAATAATTATCAGGTGTAAATGCTTACCTTCGTCATGCGACACGTATTCGCATTTACTTGATATCACTTTTGAGTAATGTTTCTTCAATAAGGTGGCAGGCCGCTGTCAATGGTGAGGCTTGGTAGACCCGGCCGGCATGTAGTTTGAGAACGCCTGTACAATTGAATCATATCGTCGCGTCGATAATTAAAGACTCGGTAATAGATCGCAGGTTCTTGGGCTTTAACATGAGACTACGTACAACCTGATGCGACAATTGACCATAGATTTCCTGGCCATGGAGGCGAAGGCCCTGAAAGCGCTACACAATGTGACCGAAACCTCAAAAGGAGGCTCAATTGAATCGCGTTGTCGCACCAAAAGGTAAAGACATGTTCCTAAATCGCGTGTCTCTGCACCTAGTTAAGATAGTATACACAAGTCAACGCAATAAGTGTTGCACTGATTGTATATATTATGATATTCTTGAACAAATTAGAATTTTCAAGGCTGAGAATATCTATACTATATATTTATTTGTGCTATATACTTATGCCATTTACCCTTGTGCAGGCGGCACCACGGATTCGCTCCCTACCTAAATAATATTACCGCGTGTCTGCTTAATTGTATTCACGTTCAGATTTCTCCACAGACCAATAGACAGAAGGCCCCCAGCCAGGACGCCAACGCTCGTAATACACATAATCCTCTGCGCATCACCATAAGCTTTCGCAATACCCAATCGCTCAGGTGTTCCCGGGGGATAACTCAGCTGTGCATACAAGCTACTGTACACCATCTCCACATTCACAGTCTTGGGGACATGGCGCTCCAGTGCCTTTTTGAATGTGCCAGTCCAAATAGCCGCCGAGACCGTAGACCCAATGGCTCCCCCAACGCTGCCAAAGAGGCTAAGCACGGCAAGACTTACGGCAATGTGCTGATGGTCGGCCACCGCCATCATACACATCTGGCCACATTCAACAACTGGGCCTCCAGCAAAAGCGACAAAAATCTGTGTCATGACTATGTAGCCGATGTCTTGGTCTGGCTGTCGGAAATGGATCATAAGTCCCACCCCTAACATCATGAGCGGCATAAAGAAGTACAAAGCAAAGGGCTTGTATCTCCCTGTCCATCGAATCAAGAGACCGATAATAATGGCAAAGACCGAGGAGCCCGTCCGGTAGATGTTGTTGATATAAGTCGTATTTGCCACTCCCTGATTCCACACAACCATAATCATTGAACTAAAGTATGATTGCCAAACGCCAGAGCTAAAGAATAGGAAGAGGAACATGGTGCCGCCGAATAGCATGTTGCGATCGACCAAGAGATCATACGGGATGAACGTAACTGGGGCGAGGAACCGCTCGTAGAATACAAAGGCGATGATGAGAAGTCCACCGATTATAATCATTGAGATGATCATAGGGCTCTTCCAACCGTCTTCTTGCATCGAATAAATATTCATCGGTAGGAGGAACAGTGTCATTCCCGCTGCCAGGATGAAGATGCCCAGGAGATCGACATCAATGCAATACTTCCAGATCGATGGCAGGGATAGATCGCCGAGTGTCACGGCATCCTCTATCAAGCCCAGCCTCTTCGCCTTGTGCTGGTTCCAAAAGAAGATGCCACAGAACGGGAGCACAACAGCAGGGGTGACGATGGCCCATACACCGAGACCCCATCGCCACCCCGCGCCTGACAGAGCAGCAGCGGCAATGGGACCGCCGCTCCAGGTCGTGAATATATACGGCGAACTTGCAAAAGACAGCATCAAAGATCGGTTCTTGAGGGATGTCGTATCGGATACGAAGACGGTAACACAGTAGCTGAGTCCTTGCGCTCTATCAGGGTTCGTGGTGGTTAGCAAGATGTTGAAATGAGATTTGGTATGATCATAAATGACACGTACCCGACAGTATAGAAGACCAAGGCCGCGGCATAAGTGGTGACATTCTTACAGGCAGCCATCAACACAAACCCGAGTACCCATAGTACCAGCATGAAAGTCATGCCCTGAGGTCGGCCCCAAGTGTCAAGAATCTTAGCCAGAGGAATCTTCACGAGACCGCCAACAATACCGGATACAACATTCATTGTGGCAGTGAGGGAATGAGTCTGGAAGGTGCTCGTAACAAATGGTGTGAGAACTCTAACAACGACTTCTTGCAGAGAGGCGACGACGAAGATAAACCACATCCTGAATACTCATATCAGTATAAGGCATTCGGGTTGCGAATGAAAATTAAATGGAGATCTTTGACTTACAAACCATACGCAGCAATTAAATCTTTCTTTGTCCAGACCATGGCTGCTGCCTCAACCTTCTGGACGCCAGCCTGTATATTATCGGAGAACGTCTCACCCTCTGCAGGGCCTTTTTCAATGTTTGTCGCGACATCTCCTTGTAAAGGTGCCTGTGGCGGTTGTTGTATGTCGGCCGAGTTCTGCTCTTTTGTCGTGGCTATGAAAGCCTCCTTGACTCCAGTCCAGAGTTTCATCGTGAAGGTAAAGAACAGCTAAATATTACTCAAGTAGAGAGAATATGTAAATATAGAGATACTGGCTTTTCTCAGTTCAAACAGAGACGTTTATATACTCTGTAGGAGACCCGTGGCTTAAGACTCGCGGCTGTAAGGCGCTCAATAACCCGGTGTGAATAGGCCGTATGAATATCCCGATGACAATAGACCGATGTAAAGGGAATCTCAGCCTCACTCTCTTTAGACAGTCAACGGTAGTTGCTACCTCAACATGCACTCAGGAGTAGATGGTACTTCAACCCGTCCTAGTCATAGGGGCACTAACACTTGTAATCTGCCGGCTTGGGCATACACTGCAGCGGGAATAAGTACGCTTTCAGAGAG